ATAACCAGCCCAGGTTGGGTACATGAGACAAGTGCTCGGGCCTGGTGCACTGGGAAGACCCAGAGGGATCGGGTGGAGAGGGAGGTGGGAGGGGGGACTGGGATGGGGAATACATGTAAATCCATGGCTAATTCATTTCAATATATGACAAAAACTACTGTAATGATGTAAAGTAATTAGCCTCCAACTAATAAAAATAAATGGAAAAAAAAAATAATAAAAAGAGTAGAGAGGACTGAAGGCTTCAGAGTAAGGCTAAAGAAGGCCCAATATGGCTAAATAAGTTCCCCCCAAAATGTTGGGTCCACCCCACCCCTAAACCTGTGTGTGACAGGTAAAAATGCACAGCAAGAAGCCGCAGTTCACTGTGTTTTCTTTTTCTCCATATTACCCACCAACATCTGACACAGGGCAGGTTTCACCTGTTTATCTTCTTTACTTTCTGTTTCCCTCATTTGAATATAAGCTCCCCAAGAACAAGGATCATTATATACTTTTTCACTTCTGTCATCTCAGTGCCAGAAGAGTGTTGGCACACGGTAGGTTGTGAAGAACACCTGTTGAATAAATAAATGAATATGATTCCAAAGAGTTGGTGGGGAGACACTGCTGGTATAGACCCTGCAGGTGTAGACACTGCGAGAGGACAGCAGATATCTTGTGAGCATGGGCACCAGAGCCACTGGGTTCCCAGGTCAGCAGATTGAGAGTGGGAAGGAATTGGGGTCCACCAAGATAGCCCTAGTCTGCCTGCCTCTGCACCCCACTGTATTTGGTTAAGGTATTTTAAGGTATTGTTAGTTAAGATATTGTTCCGTGTGTCTGGATGCAAGAGCCCCAATAATTCAAAGACGTGAATTTGAAGAGGATATCTTCAAGAGGCTAAGAAGGAGTAAAGAAATGGGAAATCCAGAAGCACGTGGTATCTTGGACCTAAGAAAGAGTGGCTCTTGGAAACAATGTCCATGGACAGATGAATGGGTAAAGAAGATGTGGCACAGATAGACAATGGAATACTACTCAGCCATGAAAAGAATGAAATAATACCATTTACAGCAAAACGAATGGACCTAGAAATTATCATACTGAATGAAGACAAAGACAAATATCATGTGATATCACTTTTTTGTGGGATCTATTAAAAGGGTACAAATGAACTTACCTACAAAGCAGAAATAGAGTTGCAGATGTAGAGAACAAACAGGGTTAACCGGGGGTGAGGGGGGAGAGAGAAACTGGGAGATTGGATTGACATATACACACTACTGTATATACAATAGAAAACTACTAAGGACCTACTGAATAGCACAGGGAACTCTAAGCATACTCTGTAATGACCTAAAAAAGAGTAGATATACGTACATGTCTCACTGATTCACTGTACTGTGTACCTGAAAATATTGATAACACAACATTGTAAGTCAGCTATACTCCATTAAAAATTAAAAAAAGTAAGGGCATGTGGTCCACACCCAAATGTTAGTGAGGAGACACAAGAAGGGAAAATGGGGTGTTGGACTAAGAGCGTCTTTTGTTGACTCCTATTAACCTGTGAAGTCAGTCTTGACCATCTGCGATGGTTAACTTTATGTGTCTCTGAGGCTCTGCTGTGGTGCACAATTGCTTGTTCAATACTCATCAAGGTGTAGCTGTGAAGGTATTTTGTAGATATAACACAAAATAATGTGGTTAACTTGTAATCCGTTGGCTCTGAATAAAGCAGATTACCGATTTGGATGGACCTCATCCAATCAGCGAAAGGCTGTAACATCAAAAACTGAGATTTCTGGAGAAGGAATTCGCCTCAAGGCTGTAACGGCAGCAGCCCTTCCTGAATTGCCAGCCTACTGACCTGCCTTGATGGATTTCAAACTCAAGACTGCACTTCAACTCTTAGATGAATTGCCAGCCTTCCAGCCCTCACAATGGCATAAGCCAGTTCCTTAAAATAGATCCATCTCTCTCTCTCAATATATATATAGTACTAGTTCTGTTTCTCTGGAAAGCCCTGACTGACACAGCATCTGTTGAGAATATGTTCAGACATTTGTCCAATTATTTCCTTAGGCTGAATTCCTGTGAGTAGAATCTGCTAGGTCGAAATTCCTGAGCTATCTAAAGAAATATGAAGCATGTTGTCAGTTTGCCATCTAGAACTGTTACATTCCTAGGAACAGTGTAAGGATGTCTGGATCTCTGGCCCCACTTCAGTGTTAGGTAGGTCTCGATGATATTTCTAACCTTCACCAATTTGTTGGGAGGTGCCACTTTCTCATTTTAAATTTGCAATATTTGATGAATAATGAGCTTGAACATCTTTTCATATTTTTGACCATGCACCTTCCTCCTTATACTTTAACATTCCATATCAAACTCTGCTTATTTGCTCTAGAAACCTAGGCCATTATATATGATTTTCCTTTTCGTTTGAAAATATCACAAATGGTCAGACTCTGTAACAGAAAAACTCTCAATGCTTTTGATCTTCGTCTACTTTTCTATTAGCTGTTTGTCCTTTTCGGTTGATTTGTAATATTTACATAATACTTTGTCATTTATCTACTATGCAAACTTTCCCCCTGTTTTTGATTAGCCTCTAACATTGTTTTGGGGTTGTTGCTCTTAGGTTTTTTGTTTGGGTGTTTTTTGTGTTTTTTGTAGCACAAAAGAGTATATTTTATGTGGCCAGATCATTCAATCTTTTCCTCTGAGGCAGTTATTTATTTTGGAAATGTCAGCCACTTTCCTCTTTTCACATGAAAAAGACACAAATGATCAGATTATGTAACATAAATTTCTCAATTTAGGAATGGAGTTCATAAGTGTTAATCACTCTAGTGTCTGAACCTTTTCCTGGATGCATGGGAAAGTTTTGGTTGTTTTTTTTTAAGATTTTTTGATGTGGACCATTTTTAAAGTCTTTATTGAATTTGTTACAAAATTACTTCTGTTGTATGTTTTGGTTTTGGCCCCCCAAGGCATGTGGGATCCTAACTCCCTGAACAGGGATTGGACCCTCACCCCATGCATTGGAAGGCAAAGTCTTAACCACTAGACCACCAGGGAAGTCCTGAGATCTTAATATGTTATTTTTCCTAAAAACTTGAGTGGTTTCAGTTACTGGGGAAGCATGTTATTGCAACTGTTAAAGCTTGGTGATTTGGGGGGAAAAGAGGGGTTTTTTTTTTTTTCCTTTTTCATGAAAACTTAGCTATTCCACAGCAATGTGAAAAAATATTAGCCACACTTTCTAGTTTCAGGTGATAGGTATTGAGGAAATGTTAAGCGATTTGAGGCAGAACTGGAGTTTAAACTCCACATATTATTCTTGATGCTACCTTGACTTGATGGAAATTTATACATGTTTTTAAGTTACATAATTTATTTCCTATCTTAGTATCTCCATTAAAACCAGCAGAGAATGAACACAGTTGTTTTGTTGCATTATTATCACTATCGAGTGGACCCACTGAATATGTAGAGGAACTTCAACTCCTTTAATGATCAGAAAACAAGGATGCGGATTCTAAAAGCTCTGCCAGGGCCCCTCCCCCCTGCCATGTTCCTGAACTTGTTCCTCTAAACCTGAAGGCTGCCCTCTGGAGCAGCCTTCAACCAGAGATAGGGAGTTGGTGGGTAAGAACCCAGCCCCCTCACCCCTCGGTGGGATATCTTTTTGGGGGTCCTGCTCAGTCTCCTGGAGAACACAGTCGCAGTCAGCTCCAGTTGTCCACTGTGGTCATTGTGGGAATATCCCCGTAACTTGCTGCCTTCTCTCTCTATCTCCCTTCTTCAGAAGCACCTACTGGTGCCTCAGGACCCTGTCCCCAGTACACTACAGTTACCCCTCAATATACACAGGGTGTCAGTTCCAGGACCCCCTTCCCCAAACACTCAAGTCTCTATAAAATGGTGTCATATTTGCATACAAGCTATGCACATTCTCGCTTACATTCTCTATCATCCCCAGATTATTTCTAATAGCTAATAGAATGCTATGTAAATAGTGGTAAATGCAATATAAATGCCGTGTAAGTAGTTGCCTGAACATGGACAAATTCAAGATTTGCTCTTTGGAACTTTCTGGAATTTTTTTCATATGTATGTAAAATTTTTTTATATAAATATATATAATTTTTCATGATATATGCTGTAAAGCTTGCAGGATCTTAGTTCCCCAACCAGGGATTGAGCCGGCCCCCCACAATAGTGAAAGCACGAAATCTTAACCACTTGGAGCACCAGGGAATTCCTTCCAATTTCCCCCCCAAATATTTTTAATTTGCGGTTGGTGGAGCCCACAGACGCAGAATGCCAGTGATACTTGTATTTGAATCCTTGCCTCATGGTCTGCTTTTGGGGGACTCCAAGCCAAGACAAATGCTTAAAGTAAGTCAGCTACATGCAAAAGATAATGACTAATATTTATTAAGAACTTACCATTGTAAGCACAAAAGGGCTTCCCTAGTGGGTCAGTGGTAAAGAATCTACCTGCAACAGAGGAGATACAGGTTTGATCCCTGGGTCAGGAAGATCTCCTGGAGGAGGAAATGGCAACTCACTTCAGTATTCTTGCCTGGGGAATCCCATGAACAGAGAAGCCTGGCAGGCTGCAGTCCATGTGGGTTGCAAAGAGTTGGGCATGACTTAGCCAATAAGCAATAACAACAATTGTAAGCACATCACTTAACCCTAACAACATCTTTTGGGAGCTAATATCATCTCCAGCTTAGGGATGAAGCACGTGAGTATTCAGTCAGCTTTGGGAGGGCATTTTGCTGATAGATGAGCTGATACAATTTTTGTTTTTACCCTAACCATCCAACTGAATCTGAGTCATGACAAGCTGCTTTTTTTTTTGCCCCCAACCACAACAATAACTTTTCTCCTGGTTTTTCTAAACCATAAGTCTGTTTTTTCAGCTAATCACCATTCCTGCTGTTTTTGTCGAAGCTAGCTACTGAACTTAAAATTTATCATATGATAAGGGTTTCCATTTATGCCCTAATAACCAACTGAATGGACCCAGGATGTTAGCTTGTTGTGTGAGGCGTGTTCATTATTGGTTTGAAAGACAACGTTTCACAGGCTTCGGATGACCTTTATTTGAACTGAAATATTCTTCCAGCCACTGATCTTATTAACGTTTTTCTTTGTTTCAAGGCAAAATACTATGCTCTCTTCTCAGTCCCTCTGTTGGGTCTTCAGAAAGAGTAAAACAAATGTGTGTTCTCTAGAAAATGTTATCAAATTGTTTCCCAAGTTAGGTCATTGCAGCTGCAAAATTATTGTTTGGGTAGAAAATCTGGCCAAAAACAACAGAGCCAATGGTCAGCCATTATTTCAGGGGAAAAAAAAAATCCTGAGATTAGCTAAGGATCGCTATCTACCATTCCACTAAAATAGAGACTGATTCCTCCAGCTGGGCCTGCATTATTTTTGAGATGAATCTTTTTCTTCCTATATAGAGCTACACTTTAATTTACTGACTGACTCCCCCAGTTTTTTAAATGGCCCCATAACATTTTGGAAGCTGTTTTAAGTCTATAAGGCAATTTATTGTAAATTAATTTTCAGAAACTTCTTGAGCCCACTTGACATGAAAACAAGCCATTTTCTCAGGCTATATACTCTAGTCTAATTGTTTTTTAAACTGAGTATTTCAAGTTAGGCTACCACTTTACATATTTGGGAAGACTGATTCTCTTCTTTGAGTTGGCAGAGCCTGAAGAAAGGACCTTAAAAATTTCTCCCCATGAACTTCTGCCACTGGAGAGCTGGGTCTGTATTATTTCACAGGTAATGTGATGGAGTAAATGTTGAACACCTGACTTTCAAGGGGCATGTGCCCTGAGTGCCTTTATGGTGTTTGTCAGTTCCTGTGCATCATGGTCTGTGAGTGGGTTGGAAAAGAATTTCCAGACACAGAGTATTTCAGAATAGAGTTTATTAGAGCGAGAGACGCTGTCAGTACAGTGGGCTGGCTCAAGGGAGAGCCAATGACTTTCATGGGTTGGTAACCAATTTTTACAGCCTCAAGACAAAATTCCTGCTGGAAGGGTGGCATTAGGTGATTGGTTAGGATGCTATAGGTGGATAATAAGGTGGGTATTTTTACCTAAGATGGGATCAGGGAGCTGACTGATTTAGATGGGGAGGGACTCATGGCAACAGTTGCTATGGGGCTCAGTCAGTTCAGAGTTGACCTTGGTACAGGGCTCCATATCTGTGGCCTTAGTACAAGGCTTTACACCTGTGACCTTGGTATAGGGTTCCACGCTGTGGTGTAAACATTCCCATCTGGCTAATTTCAAGCTACCAATGAGGTGTCCCCCAGCTCCTCAAATTCCTGAAAACCTAACAGTTGGGTCTTATGAGCTCTTAAGAGGCAGCCTCAAATGCACGCTTGGGACCACTGGCTAATTAGTTCTGAGGTGCCCTGGAATTGGTCTTAGAGGTCCCTCAACTTCCTGGCAAAGTGGCATCTTCAGGTCCACTGTGTGTGTGTTACCCCTAAACTCAGGTTGCCTGGAAAAAAACAATGTGCCCTGGGAGGGCTGCGACCCAAGTTAGGGTCATTGAGGACAGTCCAAGGCATGTTAGAGACCAGGGCAGCCGGCAGCTCTGTGGCTGGAGTTTAAACTGCCATGTTCAGCAGAGACTGACCGCAGAACAAAATAAGCAACCGGAATGTGGCCTGAATGCCACCCTTGGTGATGGGTTTTGTTTCAGGTTTACATCTGAAAAGCCACAGCCTTGGAGGAGCCTGGGAAGTGTCTTCATTATGTATCACTTGAGGACATCTCTTCTTTTTTTCATCCTCTTAAAATAGAAAGCTCTTTTCCAAGGAATTAATTTTTCCTTTGAGTGTGTCTTGTAACTGCAGTCATTCTGCTGACTGGTGCACTGTTTTCTTCCACAATGAATGTATTTTTGTTTGTCCTTGTGTATTCCTCTAAAGATGAAAGTTTGAACAGAACCATCACAGGGGAGAGCCGCTACTAAATCTGACTTTGAAACAGCCCCATCAGCAGATGTGGGGTGAAAGGGCCAGGCCTCAGGTCCAGCTGTTGGTCAGAGCTTCATGCTTCATCGTTGAATTCCCAGCAATACTCAGCTTTTCCATTTTAAGGTTTCAACATGAACCTCCCAACATTCAAAAAATGTGTCTTTCATGTCCAGTTTCTATCTAAGATTCATTTGCTCTTTAATTGGTTTTTATCAGATACCTACTTTGAATCAGAAGCTTTACTAGTTGATGAATGAGATACCCATCAGGGTCCGTCTCTATCTAGCAGGAAATAATGGCACAAACAGTCTAGTTAGAGAGGATTTAATCAAGGGACAACTTCTAGAGTTCTGGGCAGGGTTAAGGGGTCAATCCACCAAGCGTGGTGAGGGGCCCAGGAGCTGGCAGGAACAGGTGGGGGTCATGCTTGGAGAAGAGGGAGGTAGGAAAGGGGTCTCCCTGACCTCCTGCTGGTGACTCCTGTTTGCCAAAGTGCACAGGAAATCAGAGGACATGGAAGACAGGTGATGCAACCCCGGAGGCCCAACCCTTTGGGTTTAGAGCAGCCTGGAGAGCGTGGAAGGTGGGTCTCTGGGACAATCCTCTGGTGATGATGGCCTTTGGAGAATGAACAGCATTGATACCATTGGCTCCACCCTCAAAGAGCTGCTGGTTGCCAGGATGGCAGAGAGAGAGGTGGAGCCTTAGCCAGAAGGTATTTTGGCTCAGTCATGGGGGCTCAGGTGTGAAGACCTGTCTTGACATCCATGTTCATGAATTAATACGCATGAGCTGAGGTGTAAGAGATGTAAAGGAACATACTGGTATCCAAACCAAGGGATGTTGACAACTGAAGAAAAGGATGGTATCTATAGGGTGAGAAGGAAAGCCAGATGACACAAGTTTGAAATTAATGAAGTGGTGGGAGTCAGCCGAAATCAACAGGGAGCAGGAAGCAGAGGGTGGAGCAGCAGGAACACCCACATCACTCAGAGCCTTATCCAAATGAACCAACAAGTCACATGATTGCAATCTGTCCTTCTCTGGACATGGGCCAAACCTATTGAGAAAGAGAAGAACTCCATAATGGATCAATTCCTTCAGCTCTAAGCTTTGCGCTCTACTGTTGGGGCTTAGTCTGATGGGCTCTGCGCTTTTGGTAAAAGAATATTGCCTGTAGACTGGAGTATACCCAATAGCCCATTCTTAAGACTCTGATCTTGCAACATAATAACATTTTCCCATTCACATAGAGGATACAATCTTAAACCCCTTACTGGGGCTGAAGAGTACAAGAGAGCCTTTGAAACAATAAAAACAAAGTTAATCTCAGCCCACGCTTTTGGACTACCACATCTGAAGAAAATTTTCAAGTTATGTGTCTGTGAAAGACAAGGCGTAAGTCTTGGGTGTTAGTTCAGGTTCTGGGAAACATCCCTCAGCCTGTCACCTACTTCTCAAAGCAGCTCGATCACACTGGTAAGGGGTGGTCCCTTCGCCTTCAAGCTGTAGCTGCTACTTGTGACAGACTTCAGGAAGCTGAGAAATTTACCCTGGGGCAGCCCCTCACTATGTAGTCCCTCACTCACCCTGTCCTTTGTTTACTGAAATGGAAAGGGGGCTATTGGCTGACCTCCGGGAGAATGGGAAAGTACCAAGCCGTTCACTTTAGACAATCCCAGTGTAAGACTGCAGGTCTCTTCAGCCCTGAATTCAGCCACGTTTCTCCCGATGGGAGCCACACAACTCCCAGAGCGTCACTGCCCACACAACACGGAGCTGGTGTCCTCTAGCAGACCAGACTTAATGGACCAACCCTGGGCTGAGCCAGATTTGGAGGTGTTCACTGGTGGGAGCAGCTTTGCGGCCAGGCAGGTGATGCGCTGGGTACGCAGAAATACCCCAGAGAGGAGTGTTGAGGGGAAACCTGGCCCCGGGGAGCTCAGCCCAGAAGGCAGATATCATTGCTCTAACAAGAACTGTCTCTGCTGCTGAAGGGAAGTGGGTGAACATATATACGGACCCTCGCTCTGCATTCTTTGCAGTATATGTACATGGGGCAATCTGGAAAGAGAGGGGCTTCCTTACTTCAAATACTAAGGACACAAATCACACTGCTGAAATCCTGTCACTGTCAGAGGCAGCCCATAAGCCCTCACAAGTGGCTGTAATGCCCCTCCCAGAACACCAAAGAGGCGAAACTCACAATAAAAGACAAGCAGTTAGCTGACTGTGCTGCAAAGAAGGCAGTCATCACACCGTGAGAGGGTCACATCTTCCTCAGCTCTGTCTGTCAAAATCCCAGCCAGTGTAGTCAGAAAAGGACAAGGGAGGGCTTGAAGAAAGGGATTCACTCTTGATCACACCTCGCCAGGCTGGGAATACAGTGCGGAAGGAATCGTTTTGATCCCTGAGGCTTGGATACTCTCCGGAGGCACCTTCATAATAAAACCCATGACAGGAG